GGATAAATTCGACCAGATCAAAACCACATACACAGTTGGAAGAAGAAGCAAACGATGGTGGCTTCGCCTTTTTTACTTTCTCCTTGATGCTAGCATCATTAACGCTTTTATTATGAGCAAGATAAGTAAAGTAAATCTGACGCATTTGGAGTTTCGCGTAGCCCTAGCTCGAGGGCTTATTGGTGTATACTCCAGTCGAAAAAGACGATCCCACCTACGTGATCAGAAAAAAGTTGATACAGGCCGACACTCGCCAGAAAGCCATTCATGTGGTTGCTGATGAAGTACGATTCTCGAATGTTGGAGATCATTTACCTTGTCCGTCGGAGACATATAAACGATGCAGACTTTGCAGTACGAAAACAAACGATAAACGCACTAAAATAATATGCGAAAGATGTGCAGTACCTCTCTACGTTGTCCCTTGCTTTACTGCATTTCACAGGCAGTAGGTAATTATTATTAATCAATATAATAATCAAGGATAAGCTATGTGTGTAATATATATATATATATATATGCGAATAAATATGTTTTTTTTGTAAGTACTTTAGTTATTACTATGGAGGTAGTTGCACAGGCAAAGGGAATATAATTCCCACCATAGAAATAATAATAATAATAATAAAATATATATATATTTTGGTGTCTTATCTCATAATGTAACTAAATCCAGGATTAGTTTTAAATTATCGCCTTTAAATCATTATACCCTATAAAGGGTTAAGAGAGACTCCTAATCTTGATATATGCCCTTTTGATCTTCTTTTAAACCCAAAATTGTTTTCAAATGACTATTTCCATTTTGACACACACCAATAAGTTTTTTTTATTTTGAATTTTTGAAAGAATATTGAGAAAGGTTAGGTTTTTTTTGTAATGTCAATTATACCTTGAAGGAATGTTGAGTTTTATTTTGAAATGTGATTTTAGACAAATTTGTTATAAACTAATTAAATTTAAAAATTTAAATAATAAAACGATTTATGTTTGAACTTTTTTTAGGAGTTAGTATTTTATATAGCAAAGCTAAAGTCCAAGAAGAAACAAATAAATTTGCTTTTATGGAACCATTCGATTTTGAAGTTTGGGTTTACANTCAGTGACAACTTCGTTTAGAATATACACAACCTTACTTATTATTTAGTGGAAAATATTATAAAGCGTGGTCATAGAACATGGTATCTAGGGTGGTACAGAGCGTTTTTTTATAAAAATTTGGCAATGACAATTGATTTAAATAAAAAACAGATTATATTTCCATTTTGACACACACCAATAATTTTTTTCTATTTTGAATTTTTGAAAGAATATTGAGAAAGGTTAGGTTTTTTTTGTAATGTCAATTATACCTTGAAGGAATGTTAAGTTTTATTTTGAAATGTGATTTTAGACAAATTTGTTATATACAGTGTGTCTAATAAACTAATTAAATTTAAAAATTTAAATAATAAAACGATTTATGTTTCAACTTTTTTTAGGAGTTAGTATTTTATATAGCAAAGCTAAAGTCCAAGAAGAAACAAATAAATTTGCTTTTATGGAACCATTCGATTTTGAAGTTTGGGTTTACACCGTTAGTTTATACTTTGTTATATCGACTTTAGTTTATGTACTTTGTAGGTAAGACTTAAAATATTAAATATTTATTTAAAATCTTTATAAAACATTTAATTTTAGAATAGCACCAGGTGATTGGGAAAATCCTCATCCATGCGATCCAAATCCAGAGGAATTAGAAAACATATGGGATTTAAAAAATTGTTTTTGGTTAACTTTAGGTTCTATAATGACTCAAGGATGCGACATCCTTCCCAAGTAAAACGTTAAAAATAAATAAAAATTGTTTTAATAAATAATTTATTTATAGGGGGATATCATCTAGGATGGGTACTTCAATGTGGTGGTTCTTTTCTTTAATTATGACAAGTTCTTATACGGCGAATATGGCAGCTTTTCTAACAAAAGCTGCGATGGGAACAACAATTTACAACGCCGAAGATTTGGCGAAACAAACAAAAATTAAATACGGAACTGTCGAAGGTGGCGCAACCCAAGCTTTCTTTAGAAATTCAAATTTCTCAACGTACCAAAGAATGTGGGCAAATATGATTCAAGCAAGACCCAGTGTTTTTGAAAAAAGTAACGGCGAAGGTGTTAGAAGAGTTAACAACACAAAAAATCAATTGTACGCGTTTTTAATGGAAAGTTCTTCTATTGAATACGAAATGGAAAAAAATTGTAATTTAAAGCAAGTTGGTGGATTATTAGATTCGAGGAGTTATGGAATAGCCATGCCACTGAGTACGTTTAATTAAATTTTATTATTTTTTTAAAATCATTTTTTTTTTAAGATTCTGAATATCGAAGCGCGATCGATCAAACTTTATTAAAATTACAAGAAAGGGGTGTTTTAGCACGGCTTAAAACGAAATGGTGGAAAGAAAAAGTTGTTAAAGAAGTTGCTTGTGATGTAAATAAAACTTATTTCAAAACATATTTATTTTAAACCAAAATAAAAATAATTTGTAGGAAGGAGAAGATTCAGACGCATCAAATGACGCTTTAGCTTTGGCAAATGTCGGCGGTGTATTCATTTTGGTCGGATTTGGACTGGCAATTGCTTTTGTATTTGCGTTAACCGAATTTTTATGGAACGTTAGGAAAGTTTCGGTTGAAGAACATGTAAGAGTTAACTTTTACAACGACGTTAAGATTATCTTATATTTTTTGTTGTAGATATCTTATTGGACCGCTTTAAAATTGGAATTAACATTTGCAGCAAACGTTTGGATTACAAAGAAACGGGTTAGACCTGATCATTCCGAGTCATCATCAAGCGATGGGTCGGATACAAAAAGTATTGCGCAACGTGTTCTTCAAGGAGCCGGATCGATATTAAATTTAAAAGCGTTTCATTGAGTATGTAATGTTTGTTAATTTTAGATTTTTTGTTGTTTATTTGGTGTTGTTAAAATCAATAAATATATCTTAATTATTGAATATATTTTATTAATAGTTCCAAGATGTAAGATGTTTTTACACCTGCGCCCGTGCATCTTGAAACAATTTTGGCATCAACGCAAATCAATTATTTTAATGTGCGCGTAATGTTCGTACTTTGTATTTATAACAGATCAAGGTTTTAGTCTTTGCGCTACTATAATGCAATTATGCCGTTTTTTCTCAGTAATTGTTATCATTTTATTGACGATTTTTAAGTGTGAATCAAAAAAACGCTACGTCGTGGGTAAGAATACTTTTTAATCCTTAGAAATAATTATTTTTATTTATTTAATTCCTCAAATAGGTCTTTTGATTCACGATGATAGTCACGATACTGAAATGGCTTTTGACGCTGCTTTATCTCGTTTCAATTCATTTAACATCCACATCGAATTCGAATCGACCAAAAGAGTTGTATCTAAAGATGATGTTTATTCCGTATACAATGAAGGTAATCAGAAAAAAATTATTTTTTCGATTCATAAATAATAATTTCAGCGTGCGATTTAATAAGTAGCACTGAAAATTTAGTGGGTATTTTTGGTCCAACCTCGCCTGCTGTAGCCCCAATAGTGACATCAATTTGCAACAACTTAGAAATACCAAACGTCCAGATTCATTGGTCTTCATCTCAACCCCAAGAAACGACTTCAATAAATGTTCATCCCGATGCTAAATTATTTTCGATTGGTTTAGCCACAGTTGTTAAAAATTTGAATTGGAACTCTTTTGCGATTTTATTTCAAGACTACGAAAGTCTTATTAGATTACAATACGTTATGGCTTTACAAAAAGATTTAAAAGAGAGAATTTTAATAAGACAAATTGAATTAAACGCTGATAATAGGTTGGGTTGTAAATATTAATTACAATTTTTTAAACGAATTCAATTTCAGAGCGTTAATAAAAGATTTGAAAAATCGAGGATACGTTCATTTCATCATCGATTGCGATCTGGAACATGTAATTCCCCTTTTAAAGGATGTAAAGGAAGTTGAGATGTTGGATTATTTTCATAGTTATTTTATAACATCTCTAGTATTTTTTTTATTTTAATTTTAATAAAAATGATTAATTTAATTTATTTTTAGGACGCCCATACAATTGATTACACTAAAATCGATTCAAACTCCAATATAACAACAGTAAGACTATTCGATCCTGAAGATGAACCGGTACAGAATACAATAAGGGATTGGGAAGTCAGCGAAATGTATCATAATAGAAAATTAGCATTTGGACCACACGAAGTTAAAGTATGCCGTTAAAATATATTTTTAAAGATTTTATACAAATAACACTAGTTTACAAGAAAAATCTCGAAGACTGTGTATTCTGAAACTGTTTTCAGTTTTTTTCCATCACGTCCAGTTTTCGAGATATACCCAATTTGATTTTGATGAGTTGTTTTAGGCTGCAGCAAAATAACGGAGACTCCGATTTATGCCATCAATACCTCAAAATGTTCGTCTGGATCTCTACTTTCATGTCCATATAGCTACAGAAGCACACTATGCAAAATAAAAAATATACTGAACATGAACCGTTACTATGCTTTTTAATTTACGATTTTCCACATTTTTGGGTATATCTCGAAAACTGGACGTGATGGAGAAAAACTGAAGACAGTTTCAGAATCAGTACAACATTCTACGTTACAAAAAAATATCGCAGTCTTCGAGGAAAAAAATTGATTAAAATTTGCAAACTATTGTAATTATTGTTAGATTGAACCTGCTTTGATGCACGATGCTGTAAATTTCTTTGTGGAGAGATTTTATCAATTATATTTAACTCAACGGCCAGTCATGCAAAGTATGTCTTGTGAAAATATGATAAAATGGGATGCTGGATATAGAGTTGCAAGTTATTTAAAAATTGTAAGTATAGCAGTTATTGGTCTAACTTGATTTCAGCCTAAATAACTTTGTTGAGATGAACTAATTCAACCTAAGAAAAGCTTTTTTATGTTTATCGTGATTATAAACACATACTTTAGACTAAATTGGTATCGCATTATTGACGAGATGGACAAAAGGGACAAAAGGTCCAAGAAGGAGACAGAAATGTCAGAAAAATCACAAAGTGATAGGCAAAATTTATAATGACGAACTCGACTTGTCAAGTGAGGATCTAAAACTTTTTAACTTGGCTTTGAAGCACGTCATAAGAAATTAACACCAAAAAGAGGATATTCTTTAAAGATCTAATCCAGTGATGGCGAACCTCAATGGAGGTGTGTCACAAGAAATTCCATAATTCAATTTATAATAATTAGTTAATTAGGTTTCATAGTTAGTTTAGCTAGTTTAGCAGATCAGAAACTTACATCTTTCGTGATTTTTTTATTTTACCAGCCGCATAACGAAAATCAAAAAAATTAAAAAGCAAGATTGGATGATAACAAGTGCGGAAGTACCACTAGCCCATCTTTCCAAGATATATGGACAAAAAGAGATGCACGGAATTGTCTACAAAAAGACACTTTGAAACTACTCATTGTGAGCTCTTGAAGAAAACTATGGATGATAGAAAGGAATACACTGCTAGGCTACAAATTTCAATCAAACTCCATCGTTAAATTTGTAAAACGCTCTACCAATTTAGCATCAGCACGTTATTATGTTGCTTATTCCATAGAATTAACTAAAAAAATACTTATTTCTAACTATTTTTCGATTCTCTTGATGAAACCATTAATATGACATCAAATGCACGGTTGAGAGGTGATAAAGTTAGAATCAGTGCCAATAAGTACATCAGGAAACGAAATATGTAAGCTTGAGTGACTTAAGCATTGATATCTCTAAAATTGTGTCGGTCTGTCATAATATTCATAGGATTCGTGAAATTGTTTATGGAAACTGTTAGACATCTTATCGTATTGCATTATCCATCACGAGGTATTGTGTGCTAAATCAGAATTTTCAGAACTGAATAATGTAAAATCTGATGTAACAAAAATTGTTAATTTTATTACTGCTCAACCTCTCCATAAGCGAGAATTTTCTGCACTTTGGCAAGAAGTCGATTCAACCTACAATGGATTGCTAATGTTTAATTAATCCAGTTCCAGTTCAAAAGGTTCGCCATCATTGGTCTAAGCCAGCGATGCACAGACTTATTAAGACTAGGGGCCACTCGGGCAAATCATGAACTGATGGCGGGCCGCCAGAAGTATAGGTAATTAAAGACAATAAAGAATTGATAATAATGTATTAAAATTGAAAAAGAATTTATTAATTTGAAGCGTGGCACAATCTTTTTTATATTTGGCTCAAATTTACTTGTAGCAACATGTAAAACTGCTTCCAAACTATCATTTTCAAGGCGGTTTCGATTTTTTGTTTTATTATTTAGTATTGAAAAAGTTTGTTCACATATATAGGTAGAACCAAATAAGCTGGCATATTTCAGAGCGTTTATGCGCAACTCTTTGTACATATTTTTATCAATGCAGCGGTAAAAGTTCTGCAAGTCTCCTTCGTTGAATTTGTTGCGTAAATCTTGGTCGTTTTGAATGTCGATAATTTCTAACTGGGTTGACTNAGACGGATGCTCGTTTTCAAGTTTCGTTGCCATTGAAGGACAATCCTCAAATTTTAGGTGAATCCTATGATATTGCAAAGCGACATTTAATCTCATTGGAAAACAAATTCCCAAAAAATTCAGAATTGGAGAAGAGTAAAAGGCTATTGGTCAAATTGGCTCAAGAACAAGAATTTAACGAGGATATATCCAATTTAAAGTCCAAGGGAATTAAACTGACCAGTAAGTTGAAAATTTTAGATCTATTCTTAGACGAAGATGGTCTTTTGAGAGTGGGTGCTAGATTGGCAAACACTGATTTAACATTTTCACGTAAACACCAAATAATTTTACCCTCTAAACACAAGTTGACTGAATTAATCATTCGACATAAACATCTGGAAAATTTATATGCTGGCGTTCAAACTCTTCTTTCGATTATAAGACTTGAATATTGGCCTATAAACGGAAAAAATTTGATTAAAAAGATATTACGTTCATGCACAATTTGTTTTCGAGTAAAGCCTAGATTCATTTTTCCAAAGATGGGTATGTTGCCCAAAGAACGAACAACACCAGTACGACCATTTACGAATGTAGGTGTGGATTATGCCGGTCCTATACTAATCAAGGATGGTAAATTAAGAAACCGAAGGTTCATTAAATCCTACGTTTGTTTATTTGTTTGTTTGGCTACGAAGGCATTACATTTAGAGTTGGTGACTGATTTGACATCTGACACATTTCTGAATGCATTTAAAAGATTTGTGGGTAGACGAGGTTTGTGTCGATGCTTATATTCCGATAATGCTACTAATTTTAAAGGGGCAAAGAATTTAATGTATGCTAATTTAGAAGATCTAGCTAAGGATCCTGATATTTCAAATTATTTTCGTGACAAAGGGGTCATTTGGCACTTCATTCCCGCAAGAAGCCCTCACTTTGGTGGGATTTGGGAAGCTGCGGTTAAACGGGTTAAGTATCATTTAATGAGAACAATTGGTGATGAAAGACTAACCTATGAGACCTTTTCCACAGTTTTGATCCAAATTGAGTCCATCGTAAACTCAAGACCTTTACTTCCTTTATCCTCTAACCCTCAAGATTTAGAATTATTGACTCCAGGACATTTTTTGATTGGCACGGCCTT